AGTATTAATATTGTTACCCAGCACATTGAAGGGAGAAGCCAAGGCATCTGTTCATTGGCTGACTGAGTAACAAATCTTTTCTTGTCCACATATACAGGATGCCTGCAATTAATGCAGCAGTTACTAATAAGTAGTACTTAATCTTGTTTAAAGGTGTTAACAAACTTATTATTACTGCTCTATTATTGTCCATGTCCATCACCTGGAGTCCTGTAGCTTAATGGTTAGAGCACTCACCTCGCAAGCAAGAGGACCTGGGTTCGATTCCCAGGCAGGATGAAACGTTGGGCAAGTTTGTTTACTCCACGCTCCTCTGTTTGCCTAGAGGTAAGTAGGAACCCGTTTGTTATTTGATTGGCAGATTGCTTTTCCGGGGGTAATAATCCTCTAAAACATTTTTTTAAATAATAATAATTTGGTCAGTCAATCTATGACTGTTGGTGGGGCACTTCTGTGTGCAATTGACTGCTGCGTTTTGCCCACAAAATGTACAAGTCAATTCACTTTACAGCATATTCTGTGAAGCGCTTTGAGACATCTAGAAGACGTGAAAAGCGCTATATCAAATGCAAGGATTATTATTATTATTGTGCCATGATATCTTTTAATGATTGGGTCACCAAAATGGCATTCAGTTGATGCATGTGATCCTGAGGGCTTCCTGCTTTATTTCCTTTTCTCCAACTTGATTCTCTCACTTTTTGAACAAATTAAACAGCCCTTGCATTTGAAATAGTGCCTTTCAACTCAGGAGGACATCTCAAGGAGCTTCATAGGATTTATGGTGGAGTGCAGTACTCTATGTTGTAGGTGAATGCAGGAGCCATATATGCATACAACAGTGTTCCACAACATTTTTGGGGGGTCAACCAGCTGTCTGAGACATGACGAAACCCATTACCAGCTTAAGAGTATCCAAACCAAACTGAGAATTCCATGCATTCCATCTACACATGGTAATTCCATAAACAGCCAAACAGTGAATAACCAATTTTATTTGGGGGATTGTTGGCCAGGACACTAGGAGAAACTTCCTTCTCTTTTTGAATAGTGCCATGGGATCTTTAGCATCCACTTGAACTGGTAGAGAGGCCCTTGGTTTTACATCTCATCCGAAGGGTGGCACCTCCCAACAATGCTGCACTCCCACAACACTGTACTGGAGTGTATGCATAGAGTATGTGAGATCTATGATGGAACTCACATTCGACCCAGTTTACTCAGGGGTTTTATCATTCTGCCAGTACACCAGTCAACAATCCACATACAGCAACTTAACAATTATAACTAATAATATTTTGTTCCATATCCCCAGTCCAGTTCTATGAATTTAATTATCGTTTGGAAATGAGCTCAGATGCTAAGGAGGCATCACTAACTATTTTCCCTTAATAAAATCTTGAGGGCCAACATCTAATGTTCTTCATTATATCCTTTCCACAGAAACAGACTATTCACTAGTCTGTGCAGATGTTTATACTCCACATGAGGCTCTCTCCATCCTAATTGCCTCTCTTACACCCNTTTTTTTGCTTCTCTTTTACAAATGCATTAAGTTTACTCTTGTTGATTATAATAATAACGCCAGCATTTGATACGGCACCTTATCACATCATCAAAATGTGTCATAGCGCTTCAAAGTGACTCACCGTTCACTGTTAGAACAGTGCGCAGCAGTAAAAACAAGACAAACAGGATACTGGGCTATATTGCTAAATCAATTGAGTTTAGATCCCCAAATGTCACACTCAAACTATATAGCCAGTGATAGGCCACACCTGGAGTACTGCATACAGTTCTGATCACAGCAACATACGGGTCTGCAGAGGCAATTTAATGGAGAGAAACGAAGATGCTCCAGTGTCAGGTAAATGAACCATGAGCAATTAGACAAGGGCTCTTTAGTATTAAAGAAGATGTCTCTGCTTTGGGGTGTTAATCAAGACTGTGAGCTCAAAGTTCTGACATGGTGGTTGAATCCACAAGCCTAACTCAGTGACAGCCGTTCTCCCAAATGAGTCAGGCTGACATCTTGTTTTTTGGTATGATTGTACAAGTAGGTGATCTGGATAGCCATTTGCTTCTCCTTAAATGAGAGTAAATCAAATGTAAGATCTGCTTGGGACTGTCCTGTGTGTCTGGTTGAAGTTTTTCTTCAAATAGTATTGCAGGGACCAGATAGTCGTGTATGTGATCCCTTGACTGAGGAATCATGTAGGGAAAGATAAAGAATAGAACAAGTACAAAATGAGCACGAATGCATGCATGAGCACAGAAATCTGGTGAAAGATTAATGGTAGATGTAAAAATATTGGCCACAAGCATTTAATACAGTACTTTCTCTGCCTGCTACTAAATGTAGATTAGGTAACCCAATTTCACAAAGCCCAACATTTTTAATAGAAGACAGGTTTGTTACCTATTTATCGTGCTTCATCAACTCAAGACTTATTCAGAAGTCATATGAAAGGATTTCAGTCACAGACACTAGCTATTTTATAACCAACCTTCTATATTCTCTGTCAAGGTACAGTCACATTTTTTTTCGCAGAAACACTGTACTGCACTTACCAGTGGATCCTGTGAGGAGTTTGAGACATCCTCCCGATGTGAAAATATGTAAGAATTATTATAATAATAGGAGAGAAATGTTGTTGGAAAGTAAGTTACTAAAATCATCCACCAAAAGGCCACGTTAACAATATAAAGATGCCTTATCTGCTGAGATCATGAGCTGTTCCATTATCATTTCGCATCACAAGATTATCTGTGGAAAGGATACAATGAATAGCATCAGTTTTTGGCTCTCAATATTTTATTAACGGAAAATATTCTGTGCCACGGCTTAGCATCTGCGTCCACTTCCTGTGGATGATTAAACACAAAGAATTGCACTGGAGATATGGAACCAGGTTTTAAAAATGGATTTGCTTGATTGAGAAAGCTTTGGCTTCAAATTTGAGTTATAATAATAATTATCCTTGCATTTGATATAGCACTTTTCACGTCTTCTCGACGTCTCAAAGTGCTTCACAGAATAGTCTGTAAAGTGAATTGACCGTATATTTGTGGGCGAAATGTTGTGAGTTGTGACTGAAATGATGCAAAACATCCCTTAGAATGTCTGTTTCATTATATGTCAGATGAGATGCCATTAAAAATCTCTTACTGAAGCATGCCTGCTACTTTTCTCCAGTAAAGTGCATTATTTATTAAGATGTCAATAACAACTGACCGAGTTCTGGCACAGACAGCCAGGAATGTTGACAGAGATCTCTGGATCTTAGTTGACTCATCACTGTTTATAATAAAACAGTGTGACGCAGCAATAAACAAGGCAAACAGGATGTTGCACTACATTGCTAAATCAGGTGAGTTTCACATCCCCAGATGTCATACTCAAGCTGCACAACAACAATTACAACAAATTACATTTGTATAGCGCCTTTCAAATCAGGAGGACGTCAGAAGCACAGTGCTGTGGTCAGGCCAAGTTGCGTGAAGCTCCAGTCAGTGTTAAATAAGGAATGGCCCAGGATCTAGAAGCAGTGCAGAGGAGAGTAATGATGATAATTTCCAGTGTTAGAGGACCAAGATACGAGCAATGAGGAGATGAGCTGGGGCGCTTTAGTCTTGAAAATGTCTCAGACTGCACCTTATGGAGGTATACAATATTTTCATAGAGAAAGGAACCAACAGCAATACTTTTGGATGCAAGTTTAGGATGAAATCAACTGGATGAAACTGCTTTCTTAATCCAAACCTGTCTTGTGGTTTTATGAATCTATTTTGTTGTGCTACATCAAGAGAAAAGTATAGAACATGGCAAGTATTTGAGGGGTACATAGTAGGCTATCTATCAGAAACAGGAGTGAATTGCAGAGATAATTCTACTTTTTTTTGTATTGCCCTAAATGTTTGTGAGGATTTTTGTATAATATTAACTAAATTGTGGCATTTAAAATATGTTCCTTGTGTCAATTGGCATATGAAATATTTAATGAAACACTGTAAACCTTACCCCCAAGATTTCCTATTTAATCTGTTACATTACAGTACTTATTTGCTTGTTCAAATGTGTTCTCTGGTTCCAGCTGTCATTTGTGAAATGGTTAAAGTGCAGACGTATTTTGTACAAACAAATGAACAGATGGAGAGTCCAATCTCCAATTTCCTGCCATAGCTTTCACTTTGGCAAGCTTTGTGCCTACAGGGTGAAATGGGGGACGGGAAGGAAAAAGGTCATTATTACGAACAAAATGAAATTATCTGATCAAAAGACCATTGTTTTTGCTGATAAAACATACGCAGGTGGAATAATCTCACTGCTCTTTCCTTCATAATCATTCAGTAATCTGTGTTTAGCAGTGACAGGTGCACCACATGTTTCCCATTCCCATGATTTTTCCCACCTCTGAAAGTAGAGAATTCCTTATCAATCCCAGTTCTATCATCGTACATCTGACCACAATGGAACTAGGGTACTAATCAATTATTCACAATAAATTCACTCAGAAACTTATTATTATCCTTCAGTTATCCTCCCCTCCCCACCAATACCCTTTTCAGCTCCCCTCCTCCTGTTTGACTCAAATATCATCATGGTGCTTCTTACCCTCTGTACTATGTTGTTCTCTTTCTTAAGGTCCCATAGTTCCAGGTGTATATCTAGCCCTTCTAAAATGTTGTCTGTATTGATAGCATTACACAACGGTGTCATCTTGTCTGGCTTGATCTTTGAAATGATTCATAAACAGTAGGATCATGCTTTTGTGGAGAATAACAACTGACATGAATTTATTCCAAGAATCTTATCAATGATACACTCGTCAATATCAATATAACTGTCACGTAGCATTTACTTTCCAGAAGTGTAAGGTTTGGTGATTGGTAACTGTAATAGAAACCAGTGATAAAGTGCTATGATCTGTACAATTATAAAACTATAGAAAGTTAAACCTGCCAGTGATGTATGAACTTATTCTCATCTTTCCTTTTAGGTCAACCCAAATCAAAACGTACTCCTGGGACAATGCTCAGGTCATATTGGTTGGCAACAAATGTGACATGGAAGATGAAAGGATAGTATCTGTGGAAAGGGGCAAGCAGTTGGCCGAGCAACTTGGTATGTTTTTTTTATTATTGACTGGCAGTTTGTCCTTTAATGTTAATAAGTGTTACTATTCTGCAGAGTATGCTGTCTATGCATAAGAAAATATGATATTTCATAACTGATTTGATAACGTGTTTGTTAATTATGAATCTGTTAACAAGCACCCAATTTCAAACTTTGCTTGCTCTTATTTATTTAAGTACACTCGACATAAAACTGCATACGGACAAGAGCCTTTTATAACAGTGCTTTGAGTCCAAAAAACGAGGCAGCTTGAATCTATAATAGAAATCATAAAATCAGAATTACACAGCACAGAAGGAGGCCTCTGTTATTTCCACCCTTACTTCCCTCAGTAACCTAGGAATATAACAAGTTGCGCTACAATGCTACCTCTGGTCAGTATTTCTGGGTCATGGTGTCACTGCTGATGTCACCAAGTAGTGCGGCTATACAAGCACGCAGCGCTGAAGGAACTCGTCTACTCTCTGCAACACAGCTCAGTGATGTCAGCCCCGTGAGGTTAGAGGAAATGGGGTTATTTTCAATGTAACAGAGAATATTGAGGAGATACCTGATAGAGGTTTTTAAGATTATTGGGGAAGGAGGTTGATAGTCGATAAGGAGAAATTCTGTTGTGCTGTAGATTCTATGGTTCTATACGTGAAAACTCAGATGATGACTTCTGTTCACAAATGCTAACTTGCCTTGCCATATTTTGGAGAGGTGCAGAAAATTAATGGGTGGGGGGGAGTGGGGGGAATTCAGAGGTACACTAGATGGTGAAAGGATGGAGGTTTGAACTTCTGAATCATGGAGTGGTGGCCTTATGTCAGCCACGAAGCAATGGGGAGGTGCTGAGTCGAGTATAATACTGGACAATGGAATATATTGATTTCTCATTCTGTGCCTGACTCAGTTGTCTCTGAGTCGGAAGGTTGTGGGTTCCAGACCCACATCAGGATTTTGAACTCATATAGTCTAAGCAGTGCTAGGGGTATGTTATATTTTTTGGAAGTCCCATCTGCCTGTTCAGGTGGACATTAAAGATCTCATGGCACAATAATAATAATAATAATCCTTGCATTTGATATAGCGCTCTTCACGTCTTCTAGACGTCCCAGAGCGCTTCATAGAATGTTCTGTAAAGTGAATTAACTGTAGATTTGTGGGCTAAATGCAGCAGCCAATTGCGCACAGCAGTCTCTTACAAACAGTTGTGGATTGAGTGACCAAATTATTATTATTATTTTTTTGAGGGATTATTATCTGCCAATCAACTAACAACCGGGTTCCTACTTACTGCTAGGTAAGCAGAGGTGTGTGGAGTAAGGAAACTTGCCCAAAATTTCGCCCTGCCGGGAATCGAACCCAGGTTTCTCGATTGCGAGGCAAGTGCTGTAATCACTGAGCTACAGGACTCAAAAAGAGAAGAGGGTTTCTCCCAGTTAACAATCTCCCAAAAAAAAAAATGATTGTTCATTTCACAGCTGCTTGTGGGACATTGCTGTGTGCAATTGGTCTGCTGTGTTCATCTACAAGTACACAGCCACAGGAGTAAAATCCTGTGAAGTGCTTTGGGATGTCCTCCCGATGTGAAAGGTACCATAGCAAATGCAGGGCTTATTATTATTAAAACTGTGTCCATGGCACTGTTTGAAAAGAGGAGTTCCTCCTCGTGTCCTGACAAGAAAGCCCCAAATAAAATTGGGCATTCACTTCATGGCTGTTTGTGGGAATATTGCTATGCTCACTCACAAAATACACGGTCAAAGTGCCATGAAGTGGCTTGAGACGTCTCCCAATTTGAAAGTCAAATGAAAGAATTATTATTATAACTAACATCACAATTATTCTCCTTTACACAAGGCTTTGAATTCTTCGAAACTAGCGCCAAGGACAACATTAACGTGAAGCAAACATTCGAGAGGCTTGTCGACATCATCTGCGAGAAGATGTCGGAGAGTTTGGACACGGACCCTGCAATCGCGGCAGGAAAACAGAACACAAAACTCACAGAGACTCCTCCTGCACAGCAGCAAAACTGTGGCTGTTAGTGACTCGCCCATAGTACATGGAGGCAATGAAATTATGTCTGCATTGCAAAGATTAGTCTTTAGGTATTAGTCCATGAAAATGTTACTGTATGGCCTCTATATATTAAACAAACTAATCTATTTATTTTTTGCTAGTTTGTGCACAGTACTGTTCCCCAAGACCTCTTGCATTAAAATTGACATTTAGTCAACCTTTACTGATATCTGTACTGGTTCTGCAATTTCTCTGTAGATTTGAGATCTGTGTGACTGTTAAAAGAAATGGTGGATTCCCAGGCTTTGTACACTAGGTTTATAAATGATCTAGACCCATGTGCTCACTAGATTTATGTGGCCTTTCAAGCTTTTTCTCAATGATTAACTGCTTGCATGTTGAGCTTATCTTCAATCTGCACACACTGTGAATTCAGCAACAGAAATGCACATTTTTAAATGACCGTGTTGTTAGTTTGACCATTCAAATAAGCATTCTATATGTTGCAATAGCATACCTGCACCTCACCGTAGGAACATTCACTGACTAGAGATGTCTTTGGTAACTAATAAATGCTCTCCAAAAGTTAGGCCACAAGATTAGTTTGGATGAAGAAGGCCCTTCAGTCCATCTGATCTCATCCCTCACAGGAAGTCATGAATATAAATCTGTGAACACACCATGCCCAATAGCAATGATCTTGACCATAAGTTGTACTTACTCATAATTTTCAGTTATAATTTGACTTTTCACACCGTTTCTCTGTTATTTTGCCTCTAAGCAAAGCTCAGAGAGGACGCTGTTCCAAAGTACAAAAGGAACAGATTACCAAACTTAAGTGTTTTATCGAGACAAAATTTGCTTCCTAGTAAGATTATGCATTGAATGTACTTGAGAATTATTTTGCTGGTGTTTTTCATTGTTTTTTTTTTGCCTGAGGAGAGAAAATGTAAAATAGTGGTAGGTGCTGAAGAAATTGGAGTTTTATATCTTTGTGTAGCCTCTGTATTGGGGGACAATAGGCCACTAAGTGCAATATTTCAAAGAACACATACTACATCTCTAACTCAGTGCAGATATGAGTGCAAAATCACAGAATGCAGGGCTTCAAGTTAATGCAGATTTCTAGAAAAACACTAAATTTTCTTCTGATTCGCTTTCACTTTCATAGCTGGCAAAGGCCAGAATGTGTCACTAGAGAAGCTGTTATTTATTCTTTATCCTATCTTACCATTCCAAGCTATTGAATAAATAAGAACATAATACAGAATGAGTACAAGGAACAGCATCCATTGAAACTCAGAGAATGCTCATATCTTTTTATCATGCCACCTCTGGGTTACTTCATTGAAATCTTTCTTTTGTAGAAAAAAAACTATTGGCTTTACTGGTAGAAAAGAAAACTCACCAGAGACAGTCATAAAACTGCTATGCTACTAATATATAGAGATGTCTATTCAAGCCCTGCACATGGTGTGCTTTAGCCAATGTCTGCTAGCATGGCGTGAAGTGAGAAGTGATGTGAGAATTCATGGAGACATTTGTGGGTCCTGTGCGAATGTATGTTGTGTGATTAAAACATATTTAAGAAGATAATAAATGTGCAGCGTGCCTGTGTAATAAATGTGCTGAATCTATATGGCTCAGTGTATCCGTATAGTAATATGTCCACAACGTCCTGGATCTGTGTGGCTCAGTGTGTCTCTACAGTAAATGTGCTGAATCTGTATGGCTCAGACTGTCCGTACAGTAATCGTGACTGGTTTGTAGTGACTGCTCGTAGTTGGAGAAGCTGGAGAATAATTTACGTATGCAGATGCAGTACATGTTGCCAGCTTTTCACCATTGGTGTATGAACGGGTTTGGTTTGTGTGAGTGTATTTAGTATAATCTCTCCATAGGTCCTTAAGCATATTTTAGAAATTAATTACATTATTGATTATCGATAAGGAATCATGCAAAACTTTCTAAAGAAGTCATTAAAAGACATTTTCCAAATTAGGAGGGATGCAGCTGGAGTTAAAATAAAACAGGGCATGGTGTAGGTAGCTGGCAAAGCAACGTAGTGGAAAGAACCCCAGTTGAATGGGGATTATTCTTAAAGAAAGCTTTACAGAATATTGTGCAGACTGGAGATATACAGATCATTGTCTACTGAGGCCTTTTTGATGGACAAACTTCACCCGAAGTACAACTGCCACAACATATGAACTTTGTTACTGCCTTTCTTCAAATCACTGAATCAAGCTTGCCAGACCTCTTGCTACAGATGTACGTGTAGTTGCAATGGTTGTTTACAAACATGAGAAAAAATCCAATTCTTCAGTTCCCTACGTTTACTACGTTTACTGCCTGTGAAAGCTTAGTGAGGTGGTGCCATAACAGACATATAGTTGAAACAGCTATTTGATCAATGTTGTAATCCCTTTATATATATATACTGAAACATGAAAGGTTACCTACACTAGAAAGTTATGTATGTGCATAATATATTTTACCTCTGTTGACATTTGTTCTATATAGATTGTACAGTAGATCAGACATTTTGTGTTTGTCTGTGAGATATGTAAATGAACAATGTGTTTTTGAAAGGAAAATAAACTTGCAGAGACGATATCAATCCATTTCATTGTACTGATCGTTTTTCCGTGTTCGCTCTCTAGAATTCCACCCCCTTCCCTCCCTACCTTTAACGCCCACCTTAAGACCTTTCTTTTCAAGCACGCCTTTTCGTCAGTTTTCTTTCCCCCGACCCCCCCGCTATCCTCAGCTCCCCCCACACCAGTTAAGCTCCCAACCATCTCTGTGAAGCACATTGAAATGTCCTCCCCACATGAAGGGCACTATTTAAATGCAATATTGTTGTTTTAAATAACTGATTTTATCTCAGTTGCGACCACAGTTTTCGAAAGCAGATAATTGACATGTGGAAATCAAAACTGAGATACTTGTGTGTAAATAGTCCTACAATGAACAGTTAAACAACTCAATCAGTAGAGCTACTGTCAGGACAGAGACCACAACATGCAGAACTGAAAGTCGTCAAATCCAATTCATCACCTGGTATGAATCAGCTGATTTCAGTTGGGGCAGTAGTTCAGGGATCGGCCATCATAGAATTGCATGGAATTTATAGCACCAAAACAGGCCATTCGGTCCAATGTGAAACCCCAATCATCTTAATTGATCTGTAATTAGGTAAGCAGGATGCATTCCCTCAGGAAGAGTGTGCACATTCAATTCCACACACAGAATTTCGACGTCTAACTGGCATGCATGGAACTTCAGACTAGTTTGGATCCTTTTAAGCACAGAGATGGGTTTCCGCATTTGCCAAACACCTGGCTGACTAAAGAAAATTTATCTAGTGCTAATAGAGCCAGTTACAGCAACAAAAAGTTGCATTTATAGAGTGTCCTTCACGCCAGACAGCGTCTTGGAGTGCTTAAAGATGTCTCAAAGCATGTCACACAGTTGACTGGGAGCCCGAGCTATCGGGGGAGGGCAGCAACTCAGACTGGGAGGGGAAGATGGCCAGGATTGCAATGGAAAAGATAGTTCTTAGGATGTGTTTTGAAAGCATACAGTGTGGGGGAGCAAGGCAGAGAGACTCAGGATTGAAATTCCAATGAGTGGGTTTGTACTGTCTGAAAGCTTTTCTACCGATGATGGGGTGGATCTAATGGGAAACGTGAAGCAAATGTTACAAAGGATTCTAAAACTTCTAAGTGATGCAACTCCTGGTATGAGCCAAGTTCTGACTGATCGGGTTCCTCATTTTCAATGTTTATCCTTTTAAATTTCCTGAACTGCAATTTTTTCATGGAGATTTATTCCTTTCTAACAGCCTTCCTGGAGAGTTTACGAGAAAAACTATTCCATTCTCCCCCCAAAGTGTTATGTGTTTTGAAACATCATTCCAAGGTGACAGACATTAAAAAATGTAAATTGTATTGCATTATATACAATGGGGCTGGTCACATACTTATATGTGTGGGATATATAAATTGTATGCCATCTTTTAAGATTGCCATCAAAATGATGCGTTCTCCCCAAAGACTGCAGGTTTCACTGCCATGGAAAGATTACTGAAGACTTTCCTTGTGCTTTCTTCCATGTTAGTCACAGCCTTTACAGATCTCCTGGCTTTACATAATTTTCTTAAATCTTCACACTGTTTCTGATCAGCTGGGCTGATGCCAGCAAGCAATATTTTATAAATTTCCTGTAAATCCCCTGAAAATTGAGAAAAATTGCAATTTTATCAAATTATAACAGGGAATGAGCAGCATGTAGGAAATGTATGTACTTTTACTTTTACTGCTTAAAGCTGCAGCTGCTGGGCTGTGGCAGACTGATATCTCACCACGCATAGCACTCAGCAACTGGCTTAGCTTACTTGATAGCATCCAGTCTGGTTACTTTGAAGCTTTGTTCATCCTCCTAGAGAGGGGAGGAGCGGAGATAAACCGGGTCTTCTCAGAGCTGAACTGCCTCCAAGGTGATATGCTTAGCAACGGAATGTCATAATCAAGTTAACCCTATATGTGACGATCTGCAGTATTTCGGGGCACTGTTGGTCACGCATCAGCCAGCCTGGCTCATCGGCAGGACTTGGAGGGGCAGAACAGCCATTGGGAGCAAGGGTTCTTCCGACTCAGACATCTTTAATCCTGCAAGCTAAAGCCCTAATGCAGTACTGGCGATACTATGGCCCGCAGACCGGTTTTGGCCCACAGGGCCATCAAGAAGCAGCCCACAAACATTCGCACTAGTCTAGGTAAATCTGTGTTCGATCATTAGTGAGTTTCCAGAGTTTTCTTGATGGAATATTTCTTGATTTATTTTGTCGGCCGACCAAAAAGATTGGCCACCACTGTCCTAATGGATAGTGTGGTCCTAGCTAGACAAACAACAGCGCTCTCAAAGGCAAGCTTTATATTTTCAGCTGGTTAACCTACAGCAGTACCCCATTGCACACTCTGGGCTACCCAAGTTTTGGCTCTTGCTAGCCGCTGCCTAATATTTTTCGGAATTAGGTAAGCAGGTTGCGTCCCTCCAGGGAGAGAGTATACATTCCATTCTACACAAGGAAATTTCCGTGTGTTAGTGGCATACATATGTGGATCTCTCAGTCTGGTTAGATACTCTTAAACATGGTGATGGGTTTCTGCATGTGTGAGAGACCCAGCTGACGAAAAAAATATTTTGATATTTCTTCAATCCTTCCTTGTTGGTTGCATTAGAAACAGAAACATTCCGATAAACTGTGGAGCCAGCCAATTCTATCAATCCTCAAGAATAAGGCAATGCACATCGCACAACAGTTGGTTGCCCCGCGTTTCGCCCACAAAATATACAGGTAACTCACTTTACAGTATATTCTGTGAAGCACATTGAAACGTCTTGAAGACATAATAAGGTGCTATGTCAAATGCAAGGATTATTATTATAAGAATGGCAGTAATCCTCTCTGATTTCTGGATTAAAGGTAGAAACTCTGAGGAAGAAAATGAAGTAAATTTGGCCTTTCTATAGCTCCGTATGACATCGAAAGATCCCATATCACATGTCACATGCTTGTTTGGTCAGCCAGGTGTTTGACACAAGTGAAAAGCTATCACCACGCTTAAGAGTATCCAAACGAGACTGAGAATTCCATGTATGCCACCCATGATGTGAATAATACAAATAATAATAATTCTTACATTTGATAGAGTTCTTTTCATTTCAGGAGGACATCTCAAAGCACTTTACAGGATTTACTGCATTTTGTAGGGTTACGAATGTAGCTGCAAACCTACGTACAGCAATGGCCTACAAATAACCACAAAGTGAATAACCAATTTATCTGGGGAGAAAGTCCCTTCTCTTTTTGAATAGTGTCAGGGGATCTTTAACATCTATCTGTGCAGGCAGATGGGACTTCAATTTAACATTTTATCTAAAAAAAACGGCATTTGCAACAATGCAATGCTCCCTTGTACTGCTACCAAATGAGCCAAGATAATGTCAAGCTTACTCTAGCATCTGCTGTGCTTGTGAGACTATATGACATGAAAGCCAATGTTAACAAAAGACAGTATCCAACTTTGATCAGCAGGCTGCTTTATTTACCACTAGAAGTAAAAGGGCGAAACACATCGAAAACTAAAATCATAAGGAATTCATGCATATGCTGAATGGATTGAATTTATCAGCTTCCAGCACACCCGGGAACTGGTTGATAATCTCCACACCAAACTCATCGCTTCTTTTCACCAATGTGCTAATTAACCCATCACACGTGGCAGTTTTCAGCCTGCCATTCCATAGGCTAAATATGGGACACAAATTCGCACTGAGATTTGTCAGCTATTTCGCAATTTCGCACAAAAGAAGAAATCTCATCATTTCTTTGGATCATAGAATTTCACTGCACAAAAGAAAACCATTCAGCCCTCGCATTGCAGGCATTCTGTTCCTCGGCTACAGCCTGTTATTATTAACTCAGTCTGTCTGCAAACTCAGCCTTTCACGTAAATCCACACGTTCCTACTTAAGAAACATATGACGCTAGCAACATACTGTAGAACAACATGAACTAAGAAAACTGTGTGAGCCTTCCTGGGATTATGATGTGTCAGCACTCACTGTTAAATTCATCTGTGGTTAACCAGCACTAGAAATGATCAGATACAGCACTGCATTAAAAGAAGTGATGAATGAAAACAGCAGTGAAGCAGTGAGCTAGATACCAGACACAAGATCAAAATTTAAGAAAAATTGATTTTCTCTCCTGCCAGGAGCTATCCGAATACGAAGGTGTGCAGTGTAAACTCAGCTTCTAATCTAAGTATTATTTCCAGTTGATTTTGGCATGGGATGAGAAATTTAGAGATAAGGTTCATGTCCAAAGATATCTTGTGAACTGTGGAAATGACTTGCCTCAAGCTGTTTCAGGCTGGTTTGGTTGATAACACTCTGGTCTCTGATTCGATAGGTTCGAATTTTGAACTCACATAGTCTTGATTGACACCCCAATACCAGTGCTGGAGGTGGCCTACTTTGGATGTGACGTTAAACTGAGGTCCTGAAAGTTGAGTCTAAACCAGCTGAGGCCCGGAATACCTTGTGATTTGAGCATTACAGCAGCTGTCTTAAATTATTCAACAGTACAACATTTTAGAAATGTCTTTGTTTTTGCCTTCAATTGGATGGAATCTGACTTTCCTCGGTTCTTAAAAATAATCTAAATTTTAAATCAGCATCTTTAAGGGGTAAAACCAGGAGGAAATGTGGATCTCAGAAACCACAGTTTTATTGCCAGATATGTCTCCTCAGCAAAACAACAGCAACTTGCATTTATATAGCACCCTTTACGGCGGTGTGGTGACCCAGAGCGCTAAACCATACTCCTCGTTTGCCAATCTTGTCTGTTCACCTTCCAGTCAGAAACTTTTTGTGGGGCATTTCAAACCCCAAGTGCCCTCCCTCCAGGTATAAGGACAGCAGTGGCATGTAAAGCAACCTACGTCAGTGAGAAACTGAGCTCAACTGTGCCTATCTGTGGAGAATATCGCTTTGGTCAGCCCGGTGTCTGACACGTGTGAAAACTCATCACCACACTTAAGAGTATCCAAAC